TACTCTTCAGTTCTCTGATCTCTCTATTTAAGGATATTCTTTTCTCAGAGATCCTTTATTGAGTTTAAATAAAATGCAAGACAAAATAAGAATATCAATGCCCCATGACTGCCTGACTCCTCTGTTCATCAAAGGAGTATCCTTGAAGTTCTCTATTTTGCTTTACAAATTCAAACATAGGGACTCAATCCTACAAAAGAGCAGTTGAGTGGTTTAAGTCCTATTTCTGTATTAAATTGACCTTTGGTCACATATAGATGTTTCCCAAATCCATAAGCCACATTAAAATAAAAATCCTTTTGGAAGGCATATTTTGTAAATACATTTCTGGGAGAAGTTCTAAGTATCAATTTTTAAGTGAGATAAACTCTCACCATGATTCTCATTCTCTGTTAAAAGACTGTCTCATTCCCAGCCTAAAAGTAAACTTTTGAGATTGTTGTCAAAATATTTTGAGTTACAAATCACAAAATAATTGGAAGGCACAATTCCAGTGAGGCTAACTGGAGAGAGTATTTATTCATGAATATACCAGAACCTAAACTAGAAAAGAAAATAGATTAACTATTACCAGACCAACAGACAGGAAGTAAAAACTAGCCGGAAAAAAGGGGAAAAAATGCTTTTCTAACTTTTAACTTGAGAAATATTTAAAATTTGGTCCAGTTCTACTTCCTATCTATCTAGGTAACAGATACAGATATGAAATAAAACAAAACAATTTCAAATCTTCTTCCTTTTCTGCTCTGCTTTTTAAGCAGTGAGGAGAGGGAAGGTAAGGAGAAGTTTAGGTGATTAGAAAATAGGGAAGTAGGAAGAAAAAAGAAAATTGAATAATTGCCTATACAGTAATGGGCACTTTTCTGTTCTCTTGCTTTTGCTTTTTGAAATTAGGAGCTTAATAAAGCCTGAATCTTCTATCACTTCCTCAAGAGAATACCACACACAGAAATTGTGCTCAAGTTGGAAGATAAGAGATTATTTTAATTGGGTTGTAAAGGATGGAGAAGATTTAGCTTGGTAAAAAAAAAAAAAATTTACAAACAAAATAAGAAGAAATGAGAAGTCAACTATAGGTTCTTTCAACAAGGAATGATCTAGTTTAAGATATGCTCTAGAACTCTTGGTAGTAGTAGCAAACAGGTAAGAAAAAAAAAGATGTTATGCATCCATAGTGAACATGTGTGTTCATCATTAGTATACAATATATAATAGCTGTCATTTATTGGATGACGACAAGGTGGCATACACTGTGTTAAGTGTATATATATACATATATAATATATTGATATATATTATATGTAAAATATAATATAAATATATAGTTTTATCAGTCAGGAGAATTAATCCACAGAATGGTTTAATTGCACAAAGGGTACCCTTAATAGACAGATTAGAAGAAATCTGTTTAGGTGGTCAGGAAGGCTGATTTAGTAGTGAGGAAAGGGGCAGGGTTTCACTATAGGTACACAAGACCAAATACACTGATCAAGAATCCATAGTAGTACATATCCAAGTCAGTCAACTGGATGACTCACCAGGTAAATAAAATCAAGAGATTCCCTTAGACAATGGGAAAGAATTTAACTTACTAGCTTAGTACAGTTTCATCTTTAAAATTTATATTCCACAACAAAAGGCAAGATAAGCCATCTATTATTAAATAGCCTTGTATTAAAAGAGAAGTTAACAGTAAAAAAAGAAAATGATTTCCCACAGTCTAGAGAACTTCAGTATACACTAGCAAAGCTTATTTGCAGTATTGGTGGTTATATTTCTTTTAGGAGGGCCATATATAATGTTTACTACTAGCAAAAATAAAAACTTATTGACTAAAACTCATTCAGTCTAATTCTTGCTTCTTTTTAGGTCTCTTCTTCAAGTGGTCTGTATACGCCGTACAGGAGGAAAACAGCTATCAAGCTGGCCATAAGTCTGAATCAGGGAAGCAAAGCTTAAAGCAACCAAACAGATTTTTGCTGAGTAGAATGGATGTGTATGTATGGGTGGAGGGTGGGAAGTGTCCAAGATTGTTTTAACTACTTCCACAATTCATTACAATCGGAAAGTTAAAGAATGAAATACATTTGTCCCTGAATCTAACTCAAATATTCCATGAAATTTTTCTGGTTGTAATTATGTATCCTTTCTCCTAGATGATCTGGTCAATCATTTTGGTATAGTCATCAACAACCAAATCGAGCAGCAAACTAACACAACTGCCATGTGGCCAAAAGGCTGGATTAGCCATAAGACAGTGTGATGACTTGATTCTGCAGGAAAACCTGCAATAGGACTAAGATCATCAGAAGCTCTTGTTCTTTAACTATCATAACCATTTATAACTTACTTGTGATCACAGTTCTGTAATCAGTTTTCTTTCCATAGATACAGACTAGGCTTTGCTTGATTAGATACAAGTGTTTTCTAATTCTTTTCTATTAGTTTTAAAAATGTACAAAATATCTTAATTAGAATATTTGATAAATGATTAAGGAAAGCAGGAATTAAGAGAAATGAATAACTAGATTTTAAGCCATTGAGAATACAGTAATAGAGAATCAAAAAAAAAAAAAAGCAAACTAAAAAAGACATGAATGGGGCACCTAGGTGGCTCAGTCATTAAGCGTCTGCCTTCGGCTCAGGTCATGATCCCAGGGTCCTGGGATCGAGCCCCACATCGGGCTCCCTGCTCAGCAGGAAGCCTGCTTCTCCCTCTCCCACTCCCCCTACTTGTGTTCCCTCTCTCGCTGTCTCTCTCTGTTGAAAAAAAATAAAGACAGATTTGAAGGAGTTCCTCTTCTATCACCTTCTGTGGCTTAAGAGTTAGCATTACTTAAACAGCTTAAGTCTTTTGAATTACTTAGATCTCTTTCCTCCCTTGTTTTCTTACAGCTGGTGAACAATAAAATTTCTTTTTTTCAATTTTTCCTTGGCATAGAATTAATCTAATGTCTCTACTAAAATCTTCCTTGGCCAAAATCCTATAGCTAGTTTTCAATCTGTATTTCTCTTTGTTTTTAAAACCAGATATTACTTGTGTTTTTGAAGGATAACCCAGTTCCCCTGGTTAGTTAAAACTGGTATATTAGTAACTTTCTATCAAGAATGTGAACGTAATTATATTAGAGGGCAGTCCATAGGAGTCACACAGGACAGAAACCAGTGACACATGTTCTTTCCTAACTTTTCCATCAGTAGTTTCATGAAAACATCAATAGTCATTCTTATTTAGGAGGTTGTATTAGAACATCTATCTATATTAAAACATTAGAACTTCAAATGTATTAGAACATTATTCCTGGGTCCTACCATGTAAGACACTGCTTTAGAGTAAAACCTGGGCTTTGTAGTGTGTTTTAAGTTCTACAGTAAGAGTTGCTGCATCAAGTTACTCCTTAAATAAATGTTTATGAAGGGCTGGTCCTCACACTCATTTTAGTCCATAACAAAGTTTTCACTGGACCATAGTGAAATAAGAAACAAGAAAAGCTAAACGTCCCATTTTTAACTTATAAATTGTTGTCCCTCACTTCTACTCCCCCACCACATACCTCTTTTGGTGTTAAAATAGTCTCCCTTTTAGGGCGCCTGGGTGGCTCAGTTGGTTAAGCGACTGCCTTTGGCTCAGGTCATGATCCCGGAGTCCTGGGATCGAGTCCCACATCAGGCTCCCTGCTCGGCGGGGAGTCTGCCTCTCCCTCTAACCCTTCCCCCTCTTGCGCTCTCTCTCTCACTCTCTCAAATAAATAAATAAATAAAAATAGTCTCCCTTTTGTTAAATAATGTTCACGGTATTTTATAATATGATAACTTGACAAATAAAAAGTTGGCAATGTTATGTAGATACCCCACCCACTCTAAATTTTTTGAAATTTTACAGATTTGTGAAATTCAACACTCTGGACACCTCTGCCTTTAAAGGATTTAAAATAAGAAACATGTTAGAAAGATTCAGTAAATGGGAGGGATGGCACATTGGTGCCATCTTCCAAGGTCTAGGAAATATAACTAAATTCTAATTCAGGAATCATTTGAAAGATTCTCCACTTCTCCACTTCTCTATTTCTCTAACAAGCCTCCTGCCTTGTTAATTCCTTTCTCTCTCTGGTCCTGCATGGTTTTCTATCCTATTAATATCAATTTCTGCTTTTCCCTTTGTTTTGTTTTGATTTAATTTCTATGTATCGCTCTAGATACCCTCCCTCTTACTAACTTTCCAAAGTTCCATCTTCTAAATAAGTTGCCCAAATCTAAATTATTCTAAAAGCCTCTTAATTCCACCTTCCCCTTAATTTACTTGTATTACCAAAGGCATTTTCTCTGTCTTCTGTTTTGTTTTCTTTTTTTCAAAGGTAATATGTTCATCATAGAAAATTTAAAGAATGACAAAAAAATCACACAGGAAAAAAATGAAAATGAACCATAATTCCACCAATTAGACATAAGTATTATTAATATTCTGGTCATACTCAGTCAATGCTGGAATCATACTATATATACTATCATTAAATACCTGTTTAAATCACAATTTTTAAATGTTTTTATAGTATACCTAGGAGACTATCGTAATTTATTTAAAAACCTCTTGGCTCAATTTTTTTTTTTAACAAGGAGAGTTTAAAAACAGTATCTCTTACTTGTTTCTTGGTACCGAATTAGAGCACAATAAAAATAAATAAAAACAAACAAAATGGAAACCAACCACATGCCAAAAATCAAAAGGTCATAACAATTCCAACCTTTTAATTATATAGTATGATTCTTTTCTGATTAAATATTCCATTGAAATGTTATTCAGCTTTACCCTCTTCATTATGTTTTTTAGAACGGTCATTTATTGGGAGCTTTCTATATGTTGGCTAGGCTGAGCTTCAGATTAACTTCTTGAATGTTTTAAACAAATGATTAAACAAAACAAGAGTAACTTAGATGTGTAACAAACCAGCAATCCTAGATTCATATATTTCAATATTAAAAACATTTGAATTTTTATTTACCTTGAACAAATTTGACACAATGATTGAAGAGAAACACTGGGCATGTAGGTTAAGGCAGCATTGTAACACAACAAAAGGAATGTTAATACTTCAAACCTAAAGACAAACCAAAAGAATATTTACAAATCTTTAGAATTCTAAGAAGTCAACCATAATTAGGCAGGCATTATGTAAAGATATTATGTTCTAGAATAGACCCATACAATATAACCATATCAATAACAATACAAAACTAAAAAGAAAAAAAAAAAGACTTCTCAAATCACAGTCATCTGAAAATTATCTTAAAAATTCAATGTTCCAGATAACATCTGAATCGAAGTATAAAGTAACAAATCGTGAAAATGTGTTTTTCTCTTGTATAAAATGACCAAATATTTTTTAAGTGTTACATACAGCTCATTAAACATTATTTATAAATCTACCGAAATAATTTTTTAAAAAATCAGCAGGGATAGTAGGATAGTAGGTTATGTCTCCACAGTATACCTATTCTGTGCTGTCAGCATCTCCCTTTGGGGGTGAGGTCCACTGTACACAACTTTTGACAAACCATGCTGGGATAGTGCACTCTCAGTCAGAGCCATGGACCCAATGCTGGAAGGCTAGAGACATTTGAATAAAGAAGAAAAAGCCATTCTATTGAAAATGTGATATTAAGAATATATAAACCACTAAGAACGATTGCCATGAACATCATATATCTTAAAAATATTGTGACTGTGTACTAAATTTTCTGCTCAAAGATTTAACAATTAATTAAAAACCAAACCACAAGTGGAAATAAAATTAGTTTAACTTCAAAAATTCTACACCAATACTGGATAATGTATGGAATTGTTGAATCACTATATTGTACACACATAACACTGTATGTAAACTATACTGGAATTAAAATAAGAACTTAAAAAAGTTCTACCCCAGAAATACATAATTGTCACATACAAAAATATTAGACTAGTTTTATCGATCAGAAGGAGAGAAAAATATTTCAAAATGAGTATTTTCAATAGATTTCTTAAACAATCAGATTTTAAAGTTTTATGATTCTGATTTCTCATTTCACTTTGGGAATAGTAAATACCTTGCCTGGTGTTTTATACTTTTTCAGGTACTAATAAATTAATAAACTTTGGGGGGATCTAAATAACCAGACCCTAATTTATAGCAACTTCAAATCTTAGAACCAAAATATTTACCTTGATAAAATGTCACTTACTTCATGATATACAGATGGTTTGGATAAAGATGGAATCGTAAAACTCAATACTTTGCTATGTCCCTGTTTGTCAACTATTTCCTATAAAAGTGAAAAAAAATCTTAAAATATTTATTTTTTACACATAAGTTTAAAAGCTAACTATAAACTGTTAGTCTAAAAAAATGACCTGAAAGGAAAGAAATTTTAAAGTCAACTAAAATCATTAACTATGATAATCAATTATCAATTATTTATAAATACCAGGAGTTAACCTTCCTCTTTAAAATATAAGTAACATATGGGCGCCTGGGTGGCTCAGTTGGTTAAGCAACTGCCTTCGGCTCAGGTCATGATCCTGGAGTCCCGGGATCGAGTCCTGCATCGGGCTCCCTGCTCGGCGAGGAGCCTGCTTCTCCCTCTGACCCTGCCCCCTCTCATGTACTCTCTCTCATTTTCACTCTCTCAAATGAATAAATAAATTAAAAAATAAAATAAAATAAAATAAAATATAAGTAACATAGGATAGTTGAAATAGAGATGTGTAGTGTCTTAATAATCACTGGTTTTCCTTATGTAAAAAGTTACATTTTCTAAATCAATTAACATAGTTATGATATATGTCAAGAAAAGGCCCTTAAATTTCTTTTCCTTTTTAAAAAGTACAGACCTTAAATATCTAGAATACCATACTCATCAATATACAAAGAGTAATCAAAACTATCTGTTAAATCAATGGTATGAATTCTGGAGACAGTTCAGATTTTATGAAATTATTAGTGGTATCTATCAGACTAGATCTTTTCTCCCAAGTTTTTTGTGAAGGTCACTAAAAGACATTTATAGACAATAGATTTTAAATTTGAAAAATTTTAAATTCAACACTGATATTTTTAGATACCTCTATAAAAGAACCAAAATGGTCTGATTTTCAGTTTTCAACCAATCCAAAAAGGTATATTTACATAATTATATGTATGCCTGTATGGCTTTCAACCTCCATAAAGTTATTTTTTAGGAGAATGAGCTATGTACCATTTGATGTATGAAAAACAAATATTAGCTTTACTAAAATAAAAGTAGTTGATATTATGTATTCACTTTTGCTGAAAAAGTTATATATTTGCTCTCGGCAAACATTTGTTAACTGCATTAAATACAAACCAAATTGTAAACCCCTAGAAGAAGAGCTTCAATACATCCACTGCTATGCACATTTCTGCTGGCTGAGACCGCAAGGTAGCACCAAATCAATTCTGGAAGAAACTGCAGTGTAAATCGAAGCAACTGCTCTTCTCCACTGCGATAGAATTCAAAGAGCTGGTGACAGACAGGTTCTAGCAACTGGAAAAAAGACAAAGTGTTAATTCAAGGATTAGACTGTATTTGAATGACACTGACATATGAAATAAAAATGGTTTTCCCTGGTTGGTAATTACTGAAATATATAAATGTTTTTATTTTTTTGGAAGCAAAACTATTCACTGCTAAGCTATTTAGCAAACCTTTGAAAGTTTACTTCTACTGGAAGGCCAAACAGTTCAAAATAAATGTATTTGGAAGCACCTGTAAACTTTAAAATAATCTATAACTCTAAAGTGGTACTGTTATTTATACCATATCTTTTTAACTTATTAAAATAGCTATCTTCCTGATAAAACATGCCAATATATACATGATTACCTACAGGGTTGGAGAAATTGAAATGGGAATCCTAGGTAGTTATCATCACTTCACCCTCCTGAGCTTATAATTAGGCAGCATCCGACAGCAATGTGTGTGAAATAGCTGAATAATTACAGCACCTCTAGATCTAGATCCCTATTGTAACCATGATCATTTTATTTGAAACAAAATCTGGAGTTATCTATAACCTTTTCCTCTCCCACCACAGGCCAGTATTACCCAGTTAATAGAGATAACTGTATCTATATCATAGACATTTTTTTTCAATCAGAAAGTTAACATAAGAGACTCTTACACGTAAGTATTATCTTTAAGCATATATAATGATCACACACAAGTCATAAATATGTGAAGAGATTCACAGGGTACTAATTTTTTAAGACATCAGGCTGTTATATTTTCAATGAACTAGAGTTCATTTACTTCACTAACTTAGGCAATAGATTTAAGTCAACTTACTAAACAAATTTTCTACTTCCAGTAATTGTAATAAAAAGAAACTAATGTACAGTGGATGTTCTGATTTCAAACATGCTAAATATGTAAAGTATACTGGTTATAATTAAAGTCAGTATTATTTATACAAGGTGTAGTAAAAGTTACACTTCAATAAACATTAAGCCAAACTAGGCTTTCCTATTGAAAAATTATCTAACTTCTGGGCGCCTGGGTGACTCAGTTGTTAAGCATTTGCATTTGGCTCAGGTCGTGATCCCAGGGTCCTGGAATCGAGCCCTGAGTCAGGCTCCCTGCTCTGTGGGAGGCCTGCTTCTCCCTCCCCACTCCTCCTGCTTGTGTCCCATCTTCTTGCTGTGTCTCTCTCTGTCAAATAAATAAATAAAATCTTAAAAAAAAAAAAAAGAAAAGAGAAAAATTATCTAACTTCTGACAGCTAAGGAATATTTTTTTCACTCCCATAATGGTTGTCAGAGGGCAACAGATGTCTACTGTGGCATGGCAAGGGTAATAGGAAAGTGGATGGCTAGAGGCAAAGTAACCCCATTCACAGATAACAAGAGCTGTTTTTAAAGTAGGAATTTGGAATAACTGGGTTAGGGGTGGTAGGAAAAAAGAAAAACTGGCAGGGAAATGGTCGGCTTTCAGAGTAGAGTCTTAAAAATTTTTTTGTGGACCAATGTCAGCAATCTTGTATTGTTGTATAACAACCCTAATCTTTAAATACCTGGGAAAACTTTGGTTAAATCAATTGATAATAAGTTAACAAGTATTTGCGAAATTATGAAATCTTATGTTGAAAATTTATTCAATAGTCTTCCTGAAACATAATCAGTTTTAATCAAAACACCCTCAAAAGGTCGTATAACCAATTTAAAATCCAAAATTAAAAAAAATTAGAAGAGCTTTTGCTTTATGAAAACAGAACCAAATGAAGACAGCTTCAAAGGGGTGGAGAAATCATTATGTTATGATAAGGTTAGATGACATTATGCATGTCAAACCAAGAGAGAGAAATACCAGTATCTGTGTGGTGTTTTATAACTTGCCAAGTACTTTCAAAGTACTTGAACCGTTCAATTCCCACACCATTGTAGGGTAGAATATCATTATCCATACTTCTTACATAAGGAAATTGAGACAAAGAGGCTATCTACTATGGCCAAAATTACGCAGCTCACAGAGGTCAGAACTGGAGCTAACATGTTTTGACTCCTTTACAAACATACCTGAAAAATATCAGAAAAGCAATGAAAAATATATCACGTAGGAAATACAGGCAGTATTTGACTTATCTAATTTGAATATATTTGAGACAAACAATGGAGCATTAGAACATGTTGTGTTACTAGTGTTTGATTTGAATTTTTGTATGTTTTTTCTCATTGACATATTTGGTGGGTAGATTTTACAGTACTGTTAAGAGAGAACTGCTTCTTAAATATATTTTCAGGTATTAAATGAGTTTTTTATGGGTCTAATGAGAACCTAATCATGTACCTTCTTTCCATTCTAAAATACATTCTGGATTCTAAAACAAGTAAGTTACAAATAAACTTTTACAAAAATCCATTTGTAAATAAGAAGTCTTTATCCTAAGAGAGAAATGTGACATAAAATTGCCTTTGAATGACTAAAGCAGGGATAGAAGTTGGGGAAGAGTTAAGTTTGCATAAATTTACAAGAAAATATTGCAAGTTAATTGTTTTACATTGAACTTTACTGAGGAACATAGGTAGGAAAAAGATACAGAAAAGTTGGAAGGACACCACTATTTAGGTGCCAGTACCCACTGAATGACCTCTCCATACTCTGGGCTCCCTATGCCTAGAATACCAAAGAGACTTTATGTGGCTCTTTCACAAACAGCTGGTTTCATAACACACTTGAGCTCTGTTAGCCTCTAATCATACGCCTGTCTTAAAGTTACAGTCAATTAAAAGGACAAGTCAAGCAAACTGCATTGTACCTATAAACTGCCTCTACAATTTCTTGAACATACCACACATTTTCTATCTCAGGGTCTTGGCATTTACTATTCCCTCTCCTGGAAAACTCTTGCCCCTAGCTTTATTTTTCCCCCTAATTCATTCAATACCTTCTGAATCTCAATACATACTCCCCCCCTACTCCACTTTATTTTTCTTCATAGTTTTATCACCAACCAACACTATACTATACATTTAGGTTTTGCTTAATGTCTATCTCACCTACCAGAATACAAGAATACTTCTAATCCAGAAGATCAAGAATTTAGTCTATTTTGTTCACTGTTACATTTCTAAGTGATTTCTGGCACATTGTATGGGCTCAATAAATGCTTATTAAATGAAATAAACTGAATAATGAAAAAGTACTATTAATAAAATCCAAATAACAAATTTGCTGAACTTCCAAGTAACAACCAAACCATGTCCCAAATTTCAAAAATGCCAAAAGACAATGGATAATATCAACATTTTAGGAATATCACCAAATTAAGATACAAAATATTCTAAAGAGAAAAAGGAGGGTTATGATATTAAAGTCTTTACACAGTTATATTTTAGAAGCACTTCTAAATATATTTTTTAAGAATTGAGTTGTGCTTTTTTTTTTTTTTAAGATTTTTATTTATTTATTTGACAGAGAGAAAGACAGCGAGAGGGGGAACACAAGCAGGGGGAGTGGGAGAGGGAGAAGCAGGCTTCCTGGCTGAGCAGGGAGCCCAATGCGGAGCTCGATCTCAGAATCCTGGGATCATGACCTGAGCCAAAGGCAGACGCTTAACGACTGAGCCACCCAGGCGCCCCAAGATTGAGTTGTGTTTTAAGAATACAGAATACACAGTGTCTTTAACACATGAATCAAGCTAAAAACATAAAACAAACTTACATGCAAAACTTCCTAAACTAGTGTTTCTAAAAGTGTGGTCCATGGACCAAAGACTATCCACAAATGTTACCAGTGCCCAACAATGTAAATACAGAAACTGGAAACATTTAGAAACATTTACAGCAACTTGATATTGCTGCAACATCCAAGTGGGTAATCAGCAGACTTACTGAACAGGATATAGTACAGATCAGTTAGGGGTTATCAAATTCATGTGGTACTTCACATATGATGTGATTTGCACGTTCATCATGTGCATTAAGTACACATATTGGTCTGTGACAGACTGAAATTTTTTTTTTTTTAAGATTTTATTTATTTATTTGAGAGAGAGAGTGAGAGAGAGAAAGAGCACAAGAGGGGGGAGCGGGAGAGGGAGAAGCAGACTCCCTGCTGAGCAGGGAGCCTGATGCGGGACTCGATCCCGGGACTCCGGGATCATGACCTGAGCCAAAGGCAGTCGCTTAACCAACTGAGCCACCCAGGCGCCCCAGACTGAAATTTTTAAAAAAACCGGTCCTTCACCACAAATACTTTGAGAAATACTGTTCTGAACCACGAGAGCTGTATTCACTTTGAATAAAAGAAATGCTATGAACCAAACTAGTCTATCAGAAATTTACCTTACAAACTACATCCAAAGTAGGCTTGTTAAAACACCCTTCATCACAGGATAACTTTTAAGACTTTCAAAATACTAAATACTAAACAGTAAATTAGAAACAAGATTTAATTTGTTTAAAAAAATAAAGCATATACCTATACTTATTCTATTTGGTGAAATAATTCTCAAACATGTAAAACTTTAAAATACCTTCCACCCAAATACTTTAAAAATCAACACCCTTCAAGAAAACAAGCTTCCTACACATACTACACAAATTAAAAAGCTTTCGAGAGTAGGAAGGGAGAAGCAAAATATGATTGTTTTATTCAGTTATTCCAGGTAAAGTTTTGGGCTTGTCAATTTCATCCCTAGTCTTTTCTTCAGCCTGTAAAAATCATGATGCACTCTATAGCATAATCAGTAGAAGCTGGGTTTTTCTGGAACCCCTTCCCAAAGAGGTTAACTAGTCAAATAACAATAGACTATAGTTTTGAGAGCTTCATCCAAAAGGCACAAAGATCTACATAGGACCGGACTCAGGATATAAGTTATTTTACCACCAAATAATAACATTAGTGGTGTTAGAGCTGTCATGTGATCTACCAAACTTAGATACCAAAAAAACTACACACCTCATATCGCGCTCCCCTCTACTCCACCTCTTTCCATTCTCCTAGGAGCTCCCTCCTAGGCTATTGTCCTAGCATCTGTTGCTTTCAATTTTTCCATTCTCCAATCTATTCTCCACATAGCCAACTTCCTGAAACAATAATCTGATCAAGTCATGCCTTCAGTGCAAAAAAGAGTCTAAACTGCTTATGATGGAATTCAAGGCTCACCATGGTTACAGCCTAAACCAATCTTTCCAGCTTCAGTTCAGTACCAGTCTTATTCTCTTGTTTACTATTGCATTAGCCTATTCACTTTTTTCCAAATACCATGCCTTTTACTTTCCACACTATTTCCAATCCTTTTCTATTTCTACTATGAATGGTGGGGTTTGTAAACACCAGAATCTGGAGTATAGATTATGTTATCACCTTCAAACTAAATTTTCTTCCTAAAAAAAAGAAAAGGAGACGTGGGCAAGAGAAAAGAAGGACAGAGAAACACCAGCTGGACCAAACTACTTGCCATTCCTTAAATGTCTTGCATTTTCTCAGGCCTCCATATACTAACCCAACTATTTGCAATGTCCTTTCACCTTGCATACCTGGAATTGTGCATATCCATCTAGGCATTGCCTTGAATGCATGTATTTACTTATTTTCTCTCCCTTTCTCCTTGCAGGATAAAGACCATGTGTTACTTATCTTTGAATTTCTATTGCCTAGCATTGAAGCTGGTTCATAATGAGCAAACAAATATTTGTTGTATCAATCAATACATATAATGGCCCTGACTTTGTAGGCTACCTCTAACAAGATAGACAGAGAAACAGACAGACAAACAGATAGAATAAGAGGAGGAACATATTCAGAGATGGCTTTTAGAATATGGTAATAATTCTATTTCTTGGCCTAGGAGATGGTACAGTGAAGTTCATTTTATTATAGTTCTTTTTTTCACTCTACCATTTTTGAACATACAGTATTCTACTCTTACCCCTCCACCCATTTCTCAAATGTAATCAGATAAACAATCCATAATATATATTAAAGTTCTTTAAACATATAGTTTTTCTTACTCTTTTATATATATATTATATTTCACAATAAAAAATTAAAAATCAATCAACTGAATGCTACTAGCATAATAAACTGTAAGAGTACTTACCTCACTTTGTGGCTCCTGGATAACTTTATACAGAGATGAGACTAAAGAACTCTTGTCTTTCAAATTTGTGGCATAATTTGATAAAGATGTTTCTGGTAGTGTCTAAACAAATTAAAAAAAAAAAGATTTTATTTTTATGAAATGTCCTGAATAAGCAAACCCATAAACAGAAAGTAGATCAGTTGTTGCCAGAGATTGGGGGGAGGGGGAATTGTGAGTGACTAATAGGTATGGAGTTTCTTTCTGGTGTGATGGAATCAGATGCTGGTGTTAGTTGCACAACATTGTGGCTATACCAAAACCCACTATATTTTCCCTCTAAAACAATGAATTTTATGTCATGTGAATTATATCTCAACAAAAAATATATTTAATTTTCTTATCATCAACAGGGATACAAATTAACATTAACATTTCAACTTTCAGGTTAGAAATAGGATACAAACCATGTGTAAAGCCAGATACATATTTTTTGTAGCATTATATAAGTTACAAATCTCATTAATGGTATTGATCTTATTTCTTAATAAACATGTTGTATAAGGATCGAATAACATTTCAAACCTTAAAGCCACAGATCATCTATCAAAGTAACTCCTGAGTTACATATAGTGACTATTAAGTTAGGAATTGGGGGCAAATTTTAGACTTCTCAGAACTGGAGAAAAAGAGAGCCACACTACCAACAAACTAGTTTTCCTAATGCCACTTAAAATATGGACAGCTTGCCAGCACCATCCATTCAGAAAAGACACCATGACCAGAGATAAAACTCCAGTCAGACAGTTTTGGGTAAAAGTAGTAGGGAAATCTGAAAAAAAAAAAACCAACCAAAAACAAAACACTTCATTATAACAAATGATAAAAACATACCCTTCTAGAGTATATCCCTTCCTTAATATCTGTCTCCAACTCATTATTTTTTCTCATGCAAATTACTTCAATCAACAAATATTAATCCTGCAGTAGATATAATATCTCAAGATATTGCTAACAGTCATTCCAAGATATACACTATTTCTTACATGTCCCATCTCCTAGTATTTCGTAATTTAAAACAGTTATGGTTAATGTACATAGGTGTACATGTGCATAAACAGACACAGAAAATTAAACAGCATAAATGTTTATGCTAAGGATATATGATTCATTTTTACTTTACCATGAGCTCCTTAAGGGCAAGAACTATCTTATCATCTCTCCATCCATGGCACTCAGCATAAGGCCTCATACTCAAACCTTTGCTGAAGGGATTTATTAGAGATGAACACAATAAGAAATAAACACTGCCACTGTTTACACTTCAGTAGATTCTTTAAAAATAGGTCACATTTCATCGTAAGATATATAATTGAATAGATTCTTTTTTTAAGTCAATAAGATAGTTTCATTTACCAGAATGGTAAGTAAATGTGAACTATCTGGAAAACTTCCACCATTCTCCAGAGTAAAAAAAAAAGTTTCATTGCAACTGCTTACTAAAGAGGAGATTAGGGCATTCTTCAATATTTCAAAAGCATGTAACAAAAGATCTCCAGGCAACATTTCATTTCCATTATTTGATCAAGAGTAACCTAAGACTAGGGGAATTTATATAAAGGGGAATTATGGTCAAATAAACAACAGATTTTTAACTCCCTGAATGGAAATGAACCTGACTTATATATAAAACACACTATTACGTGTGTGTGTGTGGGTGTGTGTTTGTGTGTGTGTCTAACTAGAAAATTTAAAACTAAGTGAATTGAAATATAAATCTTAAAAAAATGATTAGTGAATAGAAAGATTATTATAATATTACATATACTATGTAGGCTAAAACCGTAACATTCATTAAAAATATGAATTACAGGGGTGCTTGGGGGGCTCAGTTGGTTAAGCGTCTGCCTTCAGCTCAGGTCATGATCCCAGGGTCCTGGGATGGAGCCCCGGGATGGGCTCCCTGCTCAGCGGGAAGCCTCCTCTCTTTCCTCCCCACTCGTGCTCTCTCATACTATCTCTGTCACTATCTGTCTCTCTCTCTCTCTCACATAAATAAATGAAATCTTTTTTAAAATGTGAATTACAATTTTCAGTTTATGTACCAATTAACCCTCATGAGGTGAAATATTTTCTGTGAAACAGCCTGAAGGCAAAAGAATAGCTCTTCTCTGAAAATACCTGGGCCTAGGACACTATGCTGCTAAATTTGAGGAAGGGTCTTCTAAAAATTAGTGCAGAATTCTGTCATTATTTCATTTTGCAAATGTGGGAAAAGACACTTTTGTCTATAGAAGGGGAGAAAATATAATTGCTGTGTTTATGAACAGTGCTTTGAAAAACTTAAGATCTAACAGAGCCTCATGGATTTAAATACTATTAGAGCAAACCTTTACATTTTCTTGCACTGTACTAGTTCAAAGGCACTGGCCTTCTTAAATACCAGCTAAGCTTTCTAACTTTTCAGAAGGCAGAACTGGAGACAAAAATAATAATAATAATAATAATAATGGGAAATTAGTCTTGGCAAAATTTGAAGAAGGCAAATGCTTCATACTAAAGTATCATTTGGCAGATGGCTTTTTAAAAATGTAAGGAGGTGATATGGGTTGGGTAGAAGAGAATTAATGAAGACAGACAGATGGATAGAGAACCGACAAATAAAACAATTCTATTCAATATCATACATATATTAGATTTTAAGATTCAGTGATTACCAGAAAATTGAAAAAATTAGGAGTCTAGAAATCTGCTAGATAAATCTACACAAAACATTAAGAAAAACACAATACAATCTGAAAGATAATACTTTACAAATACATCTTTGAAAAGATAGAAACTGAGGGATGCCTGGGTGGCTCAGTTGGTTGAGCAGCCAGCTCTTGGTTTCAGCTCATCTCATGATCTCAGGGTCCTGGGATTGAGCCCTTTGTCCAGCTCTGCACACCCACAGAGTCTGCTTAAGAAATTCTCTCTCTCCCTCTCCCTCCCCCTCTGCCCCTCCCCCCGCTCATGCACATGGGCGCTCTCTCTCTCTCTCTCAAATGAATAAATAAATAAAATCTAGGGGCACCTGGGTGGTCAGTTGGTTGAGCATCTGACTCTTGGTTTCGGCTCAGGTCATGATCTCAGGGTCTTGGGGTCTAGCCCCCATCGGGCTCCCTGCTCAGCCAGGACTCTGCTTCTCCCTCTCTCCCTCCGCCCCTCCCCCCACTCATGCTCACTTTCTCTCTAACATAAGTAAATAAATCTTGAAAAAGATCTTGAAAAAAAGATAGAAACTGAACTATTAATGAAATCTTAAAATAATGAAGTCTCAAGTCTAATCACTTTGTTGGTATATGAAGAGAATACTAATGAGGGCCCACAGCTAGAGTAGATACGAATAGTTTTTCCAAAGGCAAAAAAAAAAATTTTTTGCACACAACAAATTGTGTTGTCTTTGTGCATTTGTGAGCATGGTGAATGAAGTTATAGGGTTGGGAGTTCAGACTGCAACCACGGAACAATGTAGAACTAAAATCATCTTCACAGACCACCCACTTCACTCTTTCTGATGAGGATATTGAAACCTAAAAAAGTTAATGTGATTTTTCCAATATCATAAAACCACCTAGCAGAATAATTATGACTACATCAAAGGGTTTCTGAGTCCCTATGTGCTTGAACTACTTTGTCAATCTGATGATTTTATAGGCTTAATAGCACCATGGTTACCAAATTAAACAACGAAACAGAGGCTTCCCCTACCCACTTCTCTCCCTCAATCTCTCTCTCTATATATATTATGTATATATATATATATATATATATATATATATATATATGCATCCAAACTTCCTTTCTTAATTATTTTAGCCAAAACATGTAACTAACATCACAAATCATTTCAAAAGACAAGATACTCTAATTTTAAAAGTACTTAAAAGATATGTTCTCAAGCACTTTTCTACTTTCTATTAGCCTTAATATGCTGCTGATTTTGCCTGATAAACTTAATCTCTTTATCAAACATAAACAGAGCTGAATTGAATTCAACACATATTAACACAATTCTGAATAACACTCAAAATAATTTTCAGGAATATTTACCAAATTAAACAAGGAATAGAAAATATCTTCTCTTTAGCTATAATGTAGACTTAACAATAATTTAAAACATTCATTATATTAAATTGATTGAAAATTGGGCAGATTTAGGGGGTGCCTGGATTAAGCATCTGCCTTTGGCTCAGGTCATGATCCCAGGGCCCTGGGATCAAGCCGCAGGATGGGCTTCCTGCTCATCAGGAAGCCTGCTTCTTCCTCTCCCTTTGCCCCTCCCCCAGCACATGCTCTCTCTCAAATAAATAAAATCTTAAAAAAAAAAGAAGAAGAAAATTGGGTAAATTTAATCTTGGGGGGCTAGAAAAAAATTAAATTATTTTTTAATTCATGTGGCCCAGGATTTCACTCCCCTTCTCCCAATGGAAAAGTTTCCTTATCCTTGACTTAATCTTATAAAAATTTTGATAAAATAGTGCTACCCACATAATATATGTTATATTGCTAAAATATTATTTAGATAATACTTTATTCACATCCCAGTTTCTTTTAGTGGAAGACGGCATTTAGAAAACAAGATCTGGGTGCATGGTGTACTCATTACTACCAGGGTGTCATTATTCCTCGGCCCTCCCAGGGAATAAAGCTGGGAAATATATGGATACATGTATGTACAGTTTTACATGTATAACTTAATCAGATATATATTTAAATCCATGAGTTCATACTGATTCTTTCAATTCTAATGAACACCTTAGCATTCTTTCTTGCTTTCCTCATTCCATGTTTCTAATTCCTTTCTCGGACACAGAGAAACTTAACTCCCATTATCATCCTCCATGTATTTACTTATTTACTCAAAGTAGCCAACCTACCAATGTAACCACTCTAGTTGAGTCTTCTGCATGTCACCTCTGCAACTACCCACTTCCTCAAACACTAGGGCATATTTTTGCCCATACTACTTACTGCACTGCCCCCTTACCCTTCACTGCTACACTGCTAGGGTGCTACATATCCAAGCCAGGAGAGAAAGGGAATAAACAAACAGACAAGAAGGTAAGGGAATCAGTCATGATTTTCAATTATTTGCCTTAATAGTTGCCCCTTCCCCCATCCTTTAACATGCCCTCTTTCCACAACTCCCATACTAAAAAATGGCTAACTGGCTGGCTATAATTGTTTTTGCAAATTTTACCTCACTATTAAACATAACAATGCCCTAGAAGTAGTACTCAACTCTTAAACTCGACAATTTCCATCAACCTGTCAAAAAAATCATGATGGGGCGCCTGGGTGGCTCAATCGGTGAAGAGTCTGCCTTCGGCTCAGGTCATGATCCCAGGGTCCTGGGATCGAGTCCCATGTCCGGCTCCTTGCTCAGAGGGGAGTCTGCTTCTCCCTCTACTCCTCTCCCCTTTTGTGCTCTCTCTTTCTCTCAAATAAATAAATAAAATATTTTTTTAAAAAAATCATGATAGAATGAACCATGTTAAACACTGCTGAAGCAAAAAAAAAAGCTTAAAAACACCTCAAACACTTACAAAAACAACATATGCAGAATGTTTAATCAAATTATTAAAATATGTAGAAGGCACTATATACAGTACACTTTTATAAGATTCTATATCACTTTTTGATGACTTAGAGGATCTGTAGAAGGATACTCAACTCATGACTATAATAACTGACAAAGTGAAAATCTGCCCAGCCATTTGTCAGGATGAGATAATAATGACTGATAAGGCCAGCTGCAAAATTAACAGGAAACATTGCTTCTCTCAAGGACACACTCCAGCTGAAGTTTCAGAACAACCTCCCTTTTTGAGTGACTAACTGTATTCTTATTCACTGAGAAGTCTTGTTATCTAAAATCACAGATATCAAAAACTTGGCTGTATAAACATATATCAGAAAGAATGAAACATCCCACTCTTGCCTGGAGGATCTAAGTCACCTTGACACAGAGAAGCAGGCTTGATTTCCAACCAAGGTGCAGAGCCAGAGCTTCAGATAAGGGGTTTCTGAGCACAACATTCTACATAGATGTTAACTTTGTAGTTTCCAAGACAACATGACCCTGGGTCCACTTTGAAGTCCACACCAGATTTTAACTCCATTACACACAGCTCTGCTTTGTTTTGAGCCCATAAAAATACTGCTTCATTTAAATTTCATCTAAACTTCACCTTTCCTCCAAATCCTATAATTTTATCTTTTCCTTTGTTTGGTGAGATACCCATACAGTGCCTGTTGTGTAGTCTCCCTCTTTGAAACAAGCCAGTAAGTCTGACTTTGTCAGACTATACATTTGTCCCTGAAAGTTGTGGGCTGATTAGGCTGGACCAAAAAGTGACAGTTGCAGCCCAAACCCTTCATTCCTATGGTTCATGATCATGAATTTCACATAATTATGTGTAACAAGACCTAGAGGACAAGGAGAAGGTAATTAACTGGTTAAAGAATACAATTTTAGGGGTCCCTGGGTGGCTCAGTTGGTTAAGGGTTCGACTCTTGATATTAGCTCAGTCATGATCTCAGGGTTGTAAAATAGAGCTCCCTGTCAGGCTCCTCACTGGGCATGGAGCCTGCTTAAAGTTCTCTCTCTCCTTCCCTTTCCCTCTGCACCCCCCTGCAAAAAAAGAAGACAATTTTAGCTATTGTAGAGAAAAGTTCACAAGAAAGAAAGCCAGTTAAAGATGGATCCATTGGTAGAAAGGTGGGCAAATATCTTCCCATCTTCTCCCATTGTTGATCATACCCACTCCCATTGCCCTCCAAATTGGGAGAAACATTTCAACACAGTCCTTGATGGCTGGAGAGGGTAACATTAGCATTCAGAAACTTTAACCATTCTTTGTGGGGTTGCTATGAAAAGGAGAAAACAAACTCTTTTAATCACTTGGGAGAAAAAAGGAATTTATTTCCTGGAAAGAATTACTATGTGTTAATAATTCCTTATTAAGATTTATTGGAATATATTTCTGCTTCCATAGATACTTAGCCTTTCAGTCATAAAAAAACAAAAATTATAAAATTATAGTAAAATAAAAATTTAAAAAGAGCCACTGGGATTTAAACCCCAAGCAAAACTGCTTTGGAATATAATTATTATATTGAAACAGTAAATATTACCTTAAACTCTGACAACCATTCCTCCACAGCCCCTTTCTCTGAAGTGAACATCTTTCCACATCTGTTCTAGACCTTCGACCTGAAAGTTAACATAGGAAAATGTTAAAATTTTGAATATATATTATAGTCAGATTACTATGAATAGAACTAATCCTGTAAAATTTAGTTACTTCTTAGTTGTGAAATTAAAGCAGTTTCAAACATAAATTACGAGGCTCATTTCAAAACATTGTGCACAAACAAGCATTCAAAAGCAAGAATTTTAATAAAAGCATAAATACCATAACATAGTGAAATTGGCTCTGCAATTTTCATTCAGCTTTTAGGACTGCCAGCTGCAAAACCTACTGAACACTTTCCCCTAGTTTCAATGAAATAATTCCAAAATATCATGCTTCGCAAGAAAATTGCAGAAAATATTTTAAAACTGTAAAAATATAAAAAGACATGCTACAAAATTGACTTTTAGAAAGCATTTAAGAATTCAATTTGCTTATATTTTGATTCTTTACAATCTATTTAGACAAGCCACTTGGTTCCCTGAAAGCTTAATACTTATAAAGAATGAAAATGATAATATTCAAGATAATGATCATATTCAACAACAGTTATTCAGAAGACTGGGATTTAGTTAAGTAAAAATAAAAAAAAAAGGAAGCTAAAGAAAATGCAAACAAATTTATCTCAAACAAAATTTTTGTGAACGTACAATGTAATTTTCTTCATTCATCTGTATGAGAGGAGACCTAAAAACTGTTTCTTGAAGGAAAACCTTAGCTCTATCTGAATTTACTAACCTCCTAACTCAGCCACAAATCCTGCATTGGGCTTCTTAATTTTCATCAGCTTTATAGTGTAGTAGAAAGAAGGCATAATTGCCAGAAATGGAATCCTGATTCTATTACTTATTTGTAGTATAACCTTGGGCAACTTATTTACCTTACTTTTTTCATCTGTGAAATACAGATAGCCACAGCACCTGCTTTCAGGGGGTTATTGTGAGGATTAAATTAAAAAATGCAAATAAAAGCACTTATTACAGTACCTGGCAGTAAGTTTTAATACTATCCAATGTTATTATTGAAGAATATCAACTCATATAGCCTCTGCTCAGCTGACTATCAAGGCATACAGATATGTCTTAATGAACAACACAGGTTCTTGCCAAAGAATATACTCTAAAAACATGGTTAAAAAAATGAAGAAAAAAATAAAACCATGGTTAAGAAAAATATGTGTATACACACACACATTTTCATTCATTCATTAAGAATTGAGAGATATGCGTGTTATTTTTTTAGAATAGAAAATAGCCCATTTATTTTTTAATCCAAATTTTATCCTTGAGTCAAGTCAAACCATCAAAAACACATATGTGTACCATACTACTGATTTTATAGAACTGTCCATTCAAATAAACTGGGCTTTGGAACTGTGTCCCAAATGTTACTGAAAATCCTGCTAGATCACATGTTACCACCTTTAAAATCCAAAAGAGGAGGGTGCCTGGGTGGCTCAGTTGGTTAAGCAACTGCCTTCGGCTCAGGTCATGATCCTGGAGTCCCAGGATCGAGTCCCACATCGGGCTCCCTGCTCGGCAGGGAGTCTGCTTCTCCCTCTGACCCTCCTCCCTCTCATGCTCTCTGTCTCTCGTTCTCTCTCTCGCAAATAAAATCTTAAAAAAAAATTTTTTTTAATAAATAAATAAATAAAATCCAAAAGAGGAGAAAATTCACATATTCAGTTTTCACCACTAGGAAAAACCTCTCCTTTAGAGTAACTGATTCTCTTTGCTTCGATTCTAATAAAATGGGAGTCACAGTTTCTGTCCTAACTCTATACACAAAAAAGCAGGCCTGAATTAATCCTTTTTCTTGTTTCATATTATACTTATTCTTATTTTCTTTCTGCCTGGATCTACTTTTAAAAATTTTATTTATTTATTTATTTATTTGAGAGAGAGAGAGAGAGCATGAGTTGGTGGGGGAGGGGGTGGTAAAGACGGAGGAACAGGGAGAGGGACAAACAGATTCCTAGGCTGAGTGGAGCCTGATGCGGGGCTTGATCCTAGGACCCTGAGATCATGACCTGAGCCAAAGTCAGGCACTTAACCAACTGAGCCACCCAGGTGCCCCTGGATCTACTTATGTTTATCTTGTTGTATTATACTTATTTGTGAAGCAAAATGAAGCAAAGTAAATATAAATGCAAAGAAGAGTTTCTTTTTTTAACTTATCCATTTTTTATCTAGTAGGACAGAAAATTATCACAAAACCATGCTACATCAAATTACAGAGAACTGGGGAAGGTAACATTTTTACAAAAATTCAAAATAATTCCCTAGTTAAAATTAAGACTAATTTTTAAAAGGTTAAAAGGAATCAAGAGGGATGTGCAAAGGATCAAGAATAGTCAAAGCAATCTTGAAGAACAGCAGAGCTACAGGACTTGAACTTCTAAATATCAAGATTTACTACAAAACTTACCAAACATCATAGTAGTTCAGCCAGTGTGGTATTATCATAGGGGCCAAAAAAAAAAAAAAGAAAAGAAACGGAGTAGCCAGAAACAGACTTACAGATATATTAGTCACCTGATTTATGATGAAAGTGACACTGTAATTCAGTAGGGAAAGAACAGTCTTTAAATTAAATGACGGGCGCCTGGGTGGCTCAGTTGGTTAAGCGACTGCCTTCGGCTCAGGTCATGATCCTGGAGTCCCAGGATCGAGTCCCACATCGGGCTCCCTGCTCGGCAGGGAGTCTGCTTCTCCCTCTGACCGTCCTCCCTCTCATGCTCTCTGTCTCTCATTCTCTCTGTCTCAAATAAATAAATAAATAAAATAAAATAAATTAAATGACGCTAAGTCAATGGACAGCGACTGGGGTGGAAGGTGGGGAAAGAACCACGACCTACTAGTTCACACCATGTGCAAAAATCAGTTCCATGGATCCATAGATTTAAGTGAAAAAGGTAAAAAAGCATTTGGAAGAAAACATAAGAGAATACCTTCATAACCTTGGAGTATGCTAAGGTTTCTTAAACAAGAGGCACAAAAGCACTAATCATAAGACAGTTAAAAAAATAAATTGGACTTCATTAAAAGTAAGAACTTCTATCTGCCAACAGATGAATGGATAAAGAAAATGTAGCACACAACAGAATATTATTCAGCCTTAAAAAGAAGGCAATTCTGCCATTTGTGACAACATGGATGAACCTAGAGGATATTATGCTAAGTGAAATAAGCCAGACACAGAAAGACAAATACTGCAAGATCTCACTTATATGTAGAATCTAAAAGAGTCAAACTCATAGTTAACAGAGAGTAAAAGGGTGGTTTCCAGGGGCTGGGACGTAGGGGCAATGGGGAGATGTTAGTCAAAAGGTATAAACTTTCAGTCATAAGATGAATAAGTTCTGGAAATCTAATGTAAATACAGCATGGTAACTACAGTTGAAAACATATACTTGAAATTTGCTGAGAGAGTAGATCTTAAGTGTTCTCACCACACACACACACAAAGATAACTATGTAAGGTGATGGATATATTAATGAGCTTGATTGTGGCATATCAAACCATCATTTATACCTTAAATATATACAACTTTTATTTGTCAATCATACCTCAATAAAGCTGGGGGGAGGGGGAAGGAAGAACTTTTATTCATCAAAAGTTACCATTAAGAGAATGAAAAGGCAAAGCCACAGGGTCAGAAAAGATATTTGCATTTCATATATCTGACAAGAGCTTCATATCCAAAACATACACAGAACTCACATTAGTAAGAAAAAGGCAGACAATCCCAATAGGAAAAACTTACCCAAATGGAAACCTAACATATGAAAGGTGTTCAACATTGTTAGTCAATTAAAACCCACAATTAAATACCATACACACACACACACACACACACACACACTTGCAAGTGTGGCTAGAATGAATGGCAAATAATACCAAGCATTGAAAAAGGTACGGAGCAAACGGAATATTCATACATGCTGGTGTGGATATAAACTGGTACAATATCTTGGAAAATGCTTTGGCAATATCTTCTAAACTTGAACACATTCATGTGCCATAGACCCAGCAATTCCACCCATAAAAAATATACCATACAGAAACATGGATATATGTTTTCTGAAAGATGTGCTTAAGAATTTGCATAGCAACAGGTTTTGTAAATAGTTAAAAAGTAGAAACAAAGCAAATGTTCATCAAGAGTAGAATGGATAAATTATGGCACACTGTACATGGAGTTCTATACAACAATGACAATAAACTATAATTATATCAATATCACAATGTTGAGGAAAAGGAGGCAGAAAAAGAGTGTATACTCTATAATTACATTTGCATATACTTCAATAACAGGCAAAATTAATAAATTGTGTTGAAAGTTAGGATAATGGTTGCCCTTGAGGGAGTTACTTTTTTGGGTTCTAGTAATATTCTGCTTCTTGATGTAGGGGCCGGTTACACAGGTGTGTTCATTGGGTGAAAATTCACCAAACTCCACACTGATTTGTGCATTTTTCTGTGTGTATATTATACAATAGTAACACCAGACAGCCCCAGGGCTCTTATCTTCCACTTTACAGAGATCATATGGGAGCCCTCAATTGCATAGCTGAGTTAATCTGAATACTCACTTATTTAGCATGCATTCAAGCTCAAGTAAAATTGTCCCTGCCCGTACCTCTTTGCCTTCTTCTGCAGAGCTCAAAAGAAAGGCTTAAAAATAGCTCCCTACCCTTGAAACTTTCACAGCCTCACCACCACTATCTGCTTCAGGTCTACCAAGACCAAAGTCACCATTCCCTTCATCTCTGATCCCTGTTTATGTCGGGCACCACAAGAAACTACAGCTCCAGGTTACACTCAGCCCTCATACACTAATCTTCATAACTCTTACACACTCTCTATTTTACCCTCATCTCCTATCCCATCCAAATTCTGGAAGGAGGTTTTTTCACTGTGCCTTCTGAAACTGACAATCTGTTAGCAGCAAAATCCTCTATGTCCTCAACAATTCTCTGAATGTCTTTTTCTCTTGTTCTAATATGAAACCCAGTTC